GAGAAGGATGCAAGGTTCCCATGCAGAGCATGGATCAGCTGCCCTACCCCAAACCCTGCACACACGCTTGGACAGCACAAACACTGACCAAGAGAACCAGCACTTGCATCCAAGAGCCCCAACACAGCTCCATAGACAGGCTGGCAGCACGCACTCACACACAGGCAGGAGACACACCGAGATGGATGGACACTGCCCACAGGGATGGAGTCAACCCTGCCTACAGTCCCAGGGCAGTGGGGGCTTCACACGGGCCACAGCAGCACTATGCAGTCCTTCCTCTCCCTCCAGACAACAGCTCTGGGTGACCTTGACACCTTGAGAGACCTGAAATTTCCAGTGCTGCTTCAAGCATGGAGACATCCCACCCTGTGGTCTACAACACAAGTCCCCAAAACAAAGAGCAAGCCCTGAAATGAGCTCACCTGCTAGATTTGATGCTGGTCAGCTCTGGAAATAGGTCCCCAGAGACACAAAGATCACAAATAAACATGCAAGATGCCAAGTAGAAACTTGCTACAGCCATGTTAACTACCTACTAGAGTACCAGTGTCATTTCCCACTCGCTGGTGTCACCAGGCTACTCCTACTGGACCACCACATGTCACAGCATTGAGTGGTGTCAAGAGCTAAACTGCCTGGTGCTTGAAAGGCACCATCACTGTTACCCAGGAACCCAAGCAAGCACAAGCTGACAGTGGCTGCCCCTGAAGCTGACAATGCAAATCAGACAGCAGATAACTGAGGACAGGTAAGAAAGCAGAAGTCAGCCAGCAAATACTGAAAGCACGTGAGAGCGCTGGAACTGAGAGAGACCAGCTCCAGCGAGAGCAAGAAGAACCCAAAAGTGGGTGCTCCTCCTGCTCCATCACATCACCGAGATGCAGGCACGGCATTCCACAACCACAAGAAGCCACAGCTCAGCTCCCAGCCCAGGCAAATGATATCTTCACCCACAGTTTCCTTCCGATACCCACACACCACTGGCACATGACAAACAGTCCCAGCACATCAAAAGCTAGCGAGCCACTGCCCCATCTCCCAGTCTCCGAGACATCAATGTCTCCAGTATAGCAGATCCCCAAGGAGACACGGTTCTCTGGATAACAGTTCTGGGAGCAGTTCACCCTGGAAAGGTCTCAGTCACACATCCCTTTACAGCACGGCCACAAACCTCAGCTGGGCCATCTTCTCCAGCCCCTCTGGGCTGATGCGGTCTCTGGAAAGCAGATTGCTGAGCTGCTGCTCCTGGTTCCCAGCCTCACGGAGGAGTTTGCTGAGCTCCTGCTGCTGCATGTTCCGCATCTGCTGCTCCATCTCAGGACTCAGAGGAGTCGGGGGGAGTGGGCCGCACAAGTACTGCCCAGCCTGGCCAGGGTAGGCAGGGTAATAGGCTCCTGGGTACACACCATTGCTTGGAGCCATAGGATACTGCAAGGGGTACCCACCATAAGGATACTGGGGGCCTTGACCAGAGGCCCGAGGGTAATAATAGGGGTTGTCGGAGTTTTGGAACTTATAATAGGACGTCTGGGCCTGGCGGGCTTCCCCCCAGGTGGGGCTCACTTCATCGTCAGTGTCTAAAAAGTGAAGCTGAGCAGTCTGGCTCTTCAGGGCAGGTTTTTGGTCCGGGTTGTTGGGGTCCCACAGCCGGCGAGCGGTGCCGCCTCGGCCCCTGCTTCGGGGGCCTTTACTCCCAGCCCCACCGAGCAGGAGTCGGGGCCCAGGGTGAGTGGGTTCGGGGGAGCCCGCGGTGCTGGCAGAGAGGTCTGTGTTAGCAGGCAGGAACAGAATCCCACGGCCCCTCCCTTGGGGTTCTCTGCTCTGGCTCCTCGCCTCCAAAGCCTCTGAGTCATTGCAACTAACAAACGCCTTCAAGGGCTTTTTTTTATCTGTATCTGTCAGACTGATATCCCTGCTCATAGTCTTGCTGTCAAATGTGACTCGAAACGGTCCCTTGGCTTCCCTGCCGTTGCTGCTCCACTCGCTCTCGCTCCTAGAAGCTCGACTCTGCTCTGAACGCTTTTTCTTGTCCGAATTCCTGCTGGAGATGTATGCTTCTGCCTCGTCAATTCTGTCGTCGTCCAAGGAGTCGGTAGAGGATGCAGAGAGCTGCTTCCTAGGACGTATTCTTTCTCTGGCGCGCTCCTGCCGCCTCTCCACCCCGTCCACGAGCGGGGCTCCATCGACACTGTTGTTGCTTCCAGCTGAGCTCGTGCTGCAGGTGCGGTACCGGCTCCGCCGCTTGTCAGAGCGGGAGTAGCGTTTGGTAGAGCCCAGCTTCCCCTGCATCACCTCGTCGCTCGTCCTCCTGATCCTGTCGCTTCGCTCCGTTCTTCTTCCTTTTTCACCCCTAGAGGCTTTCACTCCTTCCCCGGCCTGGCTCCCCTCTCTATCCTCCTTGCTTGACTTGGTTTTCCTGTTGTTGTCTTTTCCAGCACCTTTCTCAGTCTTTTCATCTCTCTCGACTTTCAGCTGCTCCATCTTACTGGTGACCTCCTCGGTAGCTGACCGTAAGGCCGGCTCTTTAGCAGCTGAATGCAGGCGTTTCCCAGGTTGGTAGATCTGCTGGTCCGGCTTCTTGGTTCTCCTGGTGGTCTTGGGACACCACTCATCCGGAGCGGGTTGCTTGGACAAGTTCTCCTGGCTCTGAAGACCACCTTTAGTCTCCACCTCTTCATTTTCCTGCGAAGGACCATTCTGCTTGGAGCTGTCACTTTTGCTGAAATCCTCCACGACCGGAGCCTCTCCTCTCGAAGGGCCTTTGTCGCTGGGACTTTCGTCCTCAGCTCTGCTCCTCTCCTTCTCCGAGGCCTCAGGCTTTGGTGGAGGGAGTTTGCTCCTCAGCCGAGAGAGACCAGGCTTGTAAATTTCTAGGTCTGGGCGCCTGTTGTCCTTGCGGTGCCTCGGCTCCTTCACTTCTTTCATGTTTTCTGGGGGAAAAAGAGAGAGAAGAAAGTTACTCCCACCAAAAACCAGCCAGAGACAATCAAAAAAAAAAAAAAGAAAAAAAGTACCATGTCAAATATTCAAGGAGAAATATTAAGCAAAGAGCCTAACACCTTCAGGGCAGGTCCAAGAGAACAGGTCTGAAATTCACCGACGGGGCTTACAGGAAATGACAGGGCAAGAGTAGGAAATGAGAAAGTACAACAAAAGCTGCTCAAACCCTTGGCCTGACTTAGACAAACACATCCCGCAACCGTTTTGGCCTCAAAGAGCCAGCAAGCTGTGAAATTGACAGCCACGGCAGCACCACGCACCGCTCCACCGCTCACAGGCAAGCACCGCACACAAAGTTTTGGCGTTACAGGTTTCAGCAGCGGCTGTTGGTGCAGGAGGAGCCTTTCCCAACAGCCCCCTGCTCCGCCAGCACCTCCTTGGAGCCAAAGATGCGTTTTTACCCCTCACTCACAACCCGGTAACGTTTCTCTGCTCCTCGCTGTAACTGTATTTACACAAAAACTCGTTAGAGAGCACAAGGCGGGCGATGTATAATTAAGAGGTTTCACCAAGCCGGGCTGTTCCACGTTGTATTCCCTCAACTTTTTTCCTCTCCTCAGCCCCTCGCACCAGCCCGCGCCACCCAAGGAGGAAACCGCCACCGGGGGCCGGTAGGAAGGTCCCGGGGGGTTGGGGGGCGCAGGGACCGACCTGACCCCAAAGCAAAGCCGCACCGGCTGCCTCTGCCCTCCCCGGTCGGCCCCTGCTCCCCGCCTTTGCGTGCTCTCACCCCGGCAACAACCGTGTCCGGGGCGACGCGGCGGCCCCCACCGAGGGGCCGGGCCCGCCCCCGGGCAGGTGCCGCTGAGGGGAGTTTGAGGGGGAGAAAGCCCTAAGAAGCAACAATCACCCCCCGGGCTCCCACCGCCGGGCCCCGCCGCCCCCTCACCTCTCCC